GGTATATTCAGGTCCACTGCCACGAAGACTGACCAGCAGGGCCATAGACCCATATTGGCTTACCACATGTCAGTAATGTAAGGGTATTCGATACCAGGATCAGGACTCACTGCTCCTTGTTCTTGTCCTGCAACTGGAGAAACATATGGTGCCACCATTCCTCCTGCAACTGAGAGGCCAGCATCCTTTGCAACAACAGTAAGACCTGTTGCCAGGTGTGTTTCCATTGCTCGACTTGCAGGCGTCATCAGGTACATGTGCAGGACCCATCCCGTCAACCAATCATAGGCTGGCAGCCTTACTGTGCGGTCACCAGCAAGGAAAGCCTGAACTTGTTGAATGACGTGAGGCACGACCGATTGGAGCGAGTAAGGGTAGGTGAAGTATCCCCAAGCCCAATTGGTAAGCTCATATGCACAACGACTTAAAGGCGCTATGACCAATGAGTATAGATCTCCTGCGGCCTCTTGCCACCCGCGATCGGTCCTCCATCCCAGAATCTTGACTTGGAAAAGGGCCTCTGTTGCGTCGCGGACGACCATATTCATCACCCGTCCATAGCACTCCACTCCCCAGCATAAACGGTGCAGTAATATTGTTCCCGACTGGACAATGGACTGCCCCACTGGGTGCATAAGCCACAATATACTCTGACGCCTTCCTCGATAGTCCAGGTGCCTTAGAAGAAACTGCATGAACATGAAGTAGTGCAGAACGACGGGCGGGCCAAGAGGAGGGAACGGATGCATCGCAGGCGGCGCTATAAGTCCAGGGGGCGAAAACATATCGATGGAAGGCGTGCTGATGGAGAGCGGTGGTTCTTCTGCTGTGGAACTCGGGCTCGGGTGTTTGTTCGAGGCGCTCAGCCCGTGGACAGACCAGCTCGACCCGACAGACACAATAGACCCATTGGATTGGGCTGATGTGGCAGGCGAAACTGCGCGGGAGGTGTTGGCACTAGCGGTCTTGCTGAGGCTGCGGTTGGCGTTCATGGTGGGTTTAGGAAGGAATCTGAAACACAGATGTAGGTACTTATATGACAACGGCTGGACGGGCGCGCATCAAACTTTGATGGAACGTGGTGCGGTCTTGTGGACATGTCTTCAAATCAACTTGCGGAGATGTCATGTCATTTGATAAGCGACGTAACTGGACACTCTTTTGTCGAGTAAGATCTATCTGAAACAAAAAAAATGACCGTTATGCTGCAATTGCCCATTGTGATGTGTTAATCATTAGCTGCTACCTGACTTGGGCCTGCCGCTTATTAGTGCTACATCTAGTACATGATGAGCCTCCCCTCACTGCAATGTCGTCATCATTATAGCTCTCGCACTCCTGTTCGCCAGCCTTCTCTTGCCAAAGCATTTCGTCTGGCAGAGGTCTCTGTGTTAGAAGCATCAGATACAAGCTACTGACTAGAGTTTGCTGAAGGGCCTGATGCTATCCCTCCTCCTTCAGCCGAATCAACTCCTGTTTTTGTGACAGACTTTCAGTTTGTCTCACTCGATAAATTTATTGATTGTCCATACAGACCTGCTGGTTCTCTCCACCATATATTCTTGATTGAAACATCTAAGCATGACCCGTTACCTGATGCCGTTCGCATATGGAAAACAGTCATAGCCGAAGAGAGTGTTGCACAACCTTGACAGCATAGTTCATGTAAACCTATCTCGTAAATACGCTATGTATGCTGTTTTGGATGCTATGCAAAGAAGACCGGATCTCATTGTATAGTACGGATCTCAGGCTTTCGTGGATGAATGCAGTACTCGTCCGGATAGTAAGCACAGCAGGAACCACAAGACTCATTGCCTTCATGCCCTCTCTTCCAGACTTTAGGAAGGATGTCTGTAACACCAGGATCACGCCCCTCATGGAATGCCAGGAATAGTCATTCACATGTACCTAGACATGCAATCTTCCGAGCACATACTGCATTCTCCTACACAATCGTGCCCCAGCACAAGTGTGCTACATTTTTTGATCACATAGCGAGTACTCTGAAGACACCAGGTCTGGTAGCGGTGCATGTCACACACTTTGATTTGACCCCTAATGGGTATAGAGAATGTCATAAGGTGAGCAGATACCATCCAGTACTGCTATACGACTAGGGTAGCCCACTATGACGTTCATGACCAAGACAACCCCTATTTTTGCCACAGTCGGGCTACACCTCTAACGATTTGCTCCCGACCTCTTCTAACCTGGAACCAGCTCTGAATCTGAGATATAGGGAACGTGCGCTGTCTCATACCTTACTGCGCTTCCGTACATATGCACGATATAACATACCTTCTCGATATTGTTGTTTAGGCGAAGCACATGACTAGCTTATGCCATCCCATATTCTGCCATCGACCCCTGTCGCCACATTATCCGTGTTCATTTAGCCGTACTTTAATAGTCTGTCCCAATATGGCAAGACTGAAATGCCGAACCTGTACATCACACGACAATGTACCTTTGCCGTGCCTCTCAGTAAGAAGATGCATTGAATTCCTCAGACTTGATCAACTGAGCAGTTTGTATCGATGTATACCTGAAAATCTTTCCTGCTTGATATGGCATCCACCACACTCTTTCAAACTTAGACAAAGAATTTGAGCCCTTGCTTGTCACATGGTAACTGATTGAGTCTTCAGTCACGTCGATGATACATCCATTGTCTTATCTCACCTCCTACTAGTCATTGAGAGTCTGAAGCATCAATTCAGGATGGCACGGAGGCGATCCCACTACCAGTGGTAGCGCATGATGATGACACATATGGCCATCTGTGTGATCAGCATATCTAGGCGCCCATCCCATCAATCATCATCAGCTGACTCTAGGAGTCTGGCCCACCTCTTGATCAACATCCACCATCACCCTATTATCCACTCGTCGACGTTTATAATGTCTGCTGCTGCCCCTGAAACTGAATGTGATGATGCTGCTTGGGTAAGGTCTCTGTTCTTGGAAAAACAAGGTGTAGCTAAGTTAGCTCTCACAGACAACTTTGAACTCGGACGTGCTGTCCTTGGTTTTCATCGAGCTGGGAAATATGGACCCTCCATATCCAGACGTCTCGTCCTTCAGGTCTGGACGAACCCGGAGATTGATACAAGGTTGCCTAGTTGTAACAGCAACTTGCCGCAGATGGCGCCAGATTGCATTGGAGACATACCCAATGTGGGCCAAGTCTTATCTCCTTCTCCGGGGACTAGGAATATTCAATGGCATAGTCAAACAAATCGACAACATGTCTTTCCCACTTCATCTTAACCTGGATCATCTGTTTGCTTCTATCACACGCTACTCCGATCGATGCACACCTGTCGAGGAAGTCATGGCTGATACACAACTCCTCCAAAGAGCAGCATCTATTGATTGCACATTCTGTTGCGATATGGGGATCAATCTGGCTCACATGTACACTCCGCTTATGCCACTGGACGGACTATATCAGGACTTGTCGAGATGTATTGATAACAAAAGCTTCCCGCTCCTGGAATCATTAACCATTGCCGTCGCCAACCCTGAGTACAGGCGCATAAACCTTCCTTGTGGGCTTATAGTTCCAAGTCTTCGCAGGCTTACTATCAAAGGCGTCTGCCCAGACCCCTTAAAGCCGAGGCGCACGACTCAGATCACTGGAGATGAGCCTATTATTCGTCTGTCTGACTTAGTCAGCTTCATTCTATGTTTCGACTCCCTCGAGTATATCTCTCTCGATGGCATTCATATCGAAGATAATGTATCTCCACCTGCCGCCATCGCTTTAAGCTGCTCTGCGAACATCCATGTTCGTATAGGCGATCAATGCACAGCAAACACACTCAGGAACTTCATCGGTACCACTGGGGATTGGGACATCCAGACCTTCATCGAGGATATTGAATCAGTCACGGCAAACAGTCTTCCTCCCATCATGTGCAACATGGAAGCTGAAATAAGCTCCTATTGCATACTCACTGTCATTCACTCCTCACACATGGTGTACCTATGCTTCACCGATGAAACGATGCGTCAGCATTTGGAGGATGGAAGCTGGTCGCCATTATCCGAGTCCTTTGTGTGGGAATACAGGCGATACAGTAGAGACGTCAACGGCTCTGGGAATGTGAACATACACATAAGGCCTGGCTGTGTCGTGATACGTTCCCGTTCTTTCGTTGGGCCTTGGCTCTCTCGATATGGTCGCTCGTTGAACACATTGATTATCATGCGTCTCGACACTATCTTCCCAGATCCTTCGAGATCACTTGGTGTTTACAGTGATAGACACTGGCGGCTTCTTCTCAAGATGCTCCCGGGCTCTATCAACAAAGTCATATATCACGATGATTTTTGTAAGGGCACCATCCAATCAGCTCTTGTCATACGGGAAGATTAGACTAGGCCATCTGCGTATCACGACATAGGGTGCATGCTTCCAGTGGGTAAATCATTGAAACATCGGGCCCATTCTTAACAAAGTCAACAGTGCCTGCAAAACTCAGAAACCGTACGAAACTTTCTATAGAAATCATCATGTATCTGCACCACGGTTTTTGCTGTCTCAACCTGCTGTTGAAGGTAAAGTATTTCGGAATGCTGAGATCCTGTCACCTTGTTCAGTCGGATCAAACACTGTATGTAGATGGATGTAGCTGATAGAACTTTCATCACTTTCATCACCATTCTCCTGATCTAGCTTGATCTATATCTAGACAGAGCATACAGGGGACTATCAAACTTACTCAGTGGTATCTCAGTTGCAAGAGTATAGAGTGCAGTCAGAGAAGGGGAAGTAAATGCTATCTGCGAATTGAGCCATGCGGAATATCATTGTAATGTAACATATAAACAACAACATGTGATTCAGGTTTCACAGGGCCAGTAGAGTTTACCCTCACTATCAAAGTCTAAACAAGAAGGTTTGTGGGAGATACCACAACTGCATGTTGCCTGAGCACACACCGCATATTAGAGCAGGTCTTTATAAGCCACTTATTGTTACTCACAGTTGACTAAGCCCGCAGATCACTAAACCAGCCAAGAGACTGTCCCTCCCACAACTCTGCTTCCAATGGGTGCTTTCTCCCTACTGCAGTAACCAACTCGGGCGCCACTCCCATCCCTCTCCAATCTGAGCAGAATGCAACAAGATCAGTCAAGCAACACGACCTAGCGTGGCGACTGGTGCATCTGTACTTGAGATTTTGTGGGCAAGGCAACTCCTGGAGAATGATATTGATGTTCTTCTCCCCATGGCAGACGTCCAGGGTGTATAAAGTGCGGATTGCACGAAGAAATGTCCAACTCTCGCGTCCGGGCTCGTCCAAGTCCCAAAGCACCATCCTTCGGATGGAAAGATGTTCGATGGGGCAGCCATAGGCGTTGAGAGGTATCTCCATCTCAGCGCTGTAGGCAATTGTGATACCGCCAGGAAAGACCCGCACATTGGAGCTGTCCCCGCTGAGTAGGTCGGTATATGCGCGGCGAAAGGATTCATCCAACCGAAAGTTGGCGTGAGAGTCATCCCTATCGAAGAAGGTGATGAACGTATGTTCTTGGGAGTGGTCAATGTGCGCGCTAGTGCAGCGAGATAGACGACTGCGGACAAAGTCCGGGAGTGGCGCCTCCCAAACACGACATGCCGTGGTGATGGTCCAGGATCCCGTGGTATTGATATATGCCATGAAGAGCTCAACAGAATTTGAGTCCTCGCAGGCCATCTTGATCTCTGCGTCCAGGTTGATCGGTTGCAAAGTTGACTTGTCCTCGTCGAAGGCGATACGCTCAATCGTGAGCATTGCCAAGTTTGGACATGCACGCAAAACGTTAAGCAATTGCGACAGGTCGGCGCGAAGATCGCTGAGCGGCTGTCGCACATAGTAGCCTAGCAACTTTTTTTCACAGGAAAGCTCCTCTATCTTGAGCGCAGAAAGAGTTAAGCAGCGTAGTGTTGAAGAATGCATGTCTGGTATACTGACTCCGGTGTCAGAGTACCACGAGAAGACAAATGTATCGAGGTTGTTAAATGGTGTACGCTGTCCCAACGACAGAAGCGCAGTCAAACGGTCGGGGGCTAGAGGGCCGTTGCTGATATAGTCGTCGAACATGAGGGCTTCTGTGCGCAGACCCATCGTGAAGAGGATTTTGGATGTACGTGGCAATAAGTCTGGGCCCTCTTGGCTAAAGAGCCAGTACAGATCGTCAGACGCATTGTGTCCGATGTATGCTGCCAGTAGGGAATCTATGTCCAAGACAATGGGGCGATTTCCAGCACGTTGCAGCATCGTGGTGATGGCATCACGACCCCGAAGAGAAAGTACAAAGTTTGCGTGTAGCCTCTTCTCCAGAAGGACAATATATCGCAAACGTCGAGAGACGTGAGACAAGCTGAGGTATCCCAGGGTCGTGAACCTGCGCTCGCGGCCTCTGTGTTTGACCACACGAGTTCCTGGCGGATAGATCTCTGCAAGCGCCTGCGTGATCTCGCTCCAAACTTCATTTGGAGCATCTGGAATATGTATCTTCAAAGTATATCAGTTTTGACAGCACCAATTGCATTGAGAAAAAATTCACACACCAGGCTCATGCCGTGCTATTACTGTCAGAAGAAGTTGACCAAGGTTGTGGTGGTGGTTGGTGGTCAAGATGGTTCACAAATCCTTCTGACGAAAGAAGTTGATAATGAGTACGTAATGGGCGCCACAGTCCAAGTCAACGCCTGCGTCATCCAAAGGAGAAGATAACAGAGCGCAGATACACTACATAGTCAACTACAAACGTCGGTTGAAATCAGATCAGCTATTATGTCTATTGTAATTTCGAGTTAGTGCCAAATTGTACGGCATGACTCCCAACTCTGAAATGAGCAGCCCGTCGCCTCAGTAGCACAGGATAGATTTCTTGAAAGACCAGGATCATCATTGCTGTTTCACTGTTCTGCGTCTGAGACTTAAGAATGTGCTCTTCTTGAAGGGTGTGTGAGTGGCTGAAAGACATCGCAACGATAGAGTTGAGTGCTTTGCCATGTGAGCAATTAGTCTTGGCAACCCTTCCACCGACAAGATGCGGAAGTAGTTTGATCATGACGTACAAGAGTCACTCTTCAGGGTCGTTGCATGAGATTATACAATAGCCATCACTGTGACACGTGGGCCCCCGTTGGATACAGGCCTGATGCCGAAAGCGCAACTTGATTCAAGCCCTCATGTTCAACTTCTGCAACACTTCTCAGGACCTTCTACCAGTGCCGATGGTGTCCACGCTTTCTGGGATGTCGACGGAACTCATCCTTGCCATATTGCGAAACGCTATTGAAGCAGAGCCTACATCTATATTGACTTATCTTCACGTATGCTGCCACTGGAGGGCTGCTATTATAGGGGATCGGATTATATGCGGAGAAGCAGCACTGCACTTTCGGCAGGAGCGCCTGATTATCAAGTTTCTTCAGTGGTCTGGCAGCGCCTGCCAACCGCTGCTGTTGGATAACATACTGCGCCGAGCTGATCTCAGCAGGGAGACAAAGAACGCTGTCATGACATTCATACTGGAAGACAGTGAAAGGCTGGCCAATGCAAGTCGAATTGAGAACTTGATATACTACTCAATGACCAGGTGGTTCGAGAGGATACAGAAAATCAAAGCGGCTCCCCATTTGACATCTCTGCATATACACACACACAGAATCAAAGGGCTCCCTGAGATACACGCTCCGAGACTGGTCTCCCTGGTACTCATTTCGAAAAAGCACTCGGTACTGATGGCATCTAACATCCTCGCGTTCCTCCGCTGCACACCTCTGCTGCAAACACTCAGGCTCGACAACATTGGATGCGCTGTCTTGTCGGATCAAGATAAATCATTAGGGCCAGTATCGCTCCCCAAACTCAAGAAGCTCACATTCGAGAGGATACTTCCCAATCAATACCGCGCGCTTGCCTATGTCACCTCTCAAAGCCCATTGCTGTTGGATATATCATTGAAGCTGTTGGGCCCGCTTCCTCTCGAAGAAGTGTGGCCAATATTCACAACCTATGTATCAACCCCGGTTCACGTCACTATCTTTCCATTTCAACTTGGCGCTCATCTCCGGATACAAACACGGTCACCATCTTCTGTTGACCCCTTAACACTCGACATGTCAAATGTTCTTGTCGCCCAGTCGGATGTCATTGAAAAGCTTTATTGCAAAGGAGTAACCGTGGATACCTATCCCATGAAGGATGCATTGGCGTATGCACACATAACCGAGAGTCTCGCTCTTATTGCCCCTTACTGGGAAGGAAACGTGCTACACGCTTCTCCTCGAGATGTACATGGCATTCAAGTGGAGGAATGGTTACAATCGTTCACGGCATTGCGGAGCCTGACGATTGACACATCTCTAGTAGATGTCATTGGTCTGGGGCAGATCTTCACGCATCCCATGCTGCAGAGCATCAATATTCTATGTGGCATCCATCCACACGGCACAATAGGCGAAGACAGAGCAGCAATTCACTTAATTGCACAATGGTTGAGAGGGAGAATCGTCACACAGGACATACATGTCAAGCTTGCTGGTAGGAGACGGCAGCCAGGCTGGTTGCCATTGGATGCTCTACGCTCGTGTTCAGCGACACTGGAAGACAACAGAGTATGAGAGCTGACCTGTGCAACCTGTTCGTCAACATATGCACTTTGGATCATGGACGACGAAGAGTTGTGAAGCATGCACATGATTCCAACCTTGTTGTCGGTTCGGGTTAGCCTCAGTGACCACCCCAGCAACTTGATCTCCCGCACGACTTTTCCCGAAGCTTTCCTACATCAAGCAGCCGATGTTTATGAAAGCTGGCTCGGCTATTGTGTAATTCCGCGAGCTTTGCGATCGCAATGACTTACTGAGTTGTGGTATATACCCTATGTAACCCCTGTTCATGCACTCAATCCAGAAAAGCACGGGTTGCTTACTACTATCGATCCATGGTCACTGCATATATAATATACAGCTTATGAAAGTGCATGTTTAACACACCCTGCCCAAGTTAGAGATGCTAGCTCAGAGCCCCTAAAAACTCAATGTAGTACATGTCATCTACTTGCACTGTGCTCACGAATGTTCCTTGGTAACAAATGTAGTCTGAACTCAGTGTATACCACTGCACATGCAAATACACTTGTTGTAAATGAGATAGATTTGCGATATGGCTTGGTCGATTCCACTATAAAAATGGCTGGCTGGATGGATTGAGCAGAGCGGGAATCGAACCCGCACATAGATATAGAAGGCATTCCATATCCACTCGACCACTTTGCCTGGTGGATGTTGATAGAATTGCATGACATGAGCAAGGCTCTCTACTTACCCCCTGAAATGATGTCACAATATTTCAAGAAGAACATGCACCGGAGGAATCTCTTCCTTCTTCTACGTACCATGTGTTTCTAACACTAATAACACTGACAACAGCTTGGGAAATAGAGCTGTAATGTGTTGTTTACGTATGGTGCAAGTATAGCAGGATAGTCTGTACTCTTGCTGTTCAATGTACTCGTACTATGACCGGGGTTCATTTTAGAGTACTGGCCTAACCAAACTGATGCAATATTTTTTGCCCTCCACCATATCCTGTAAGCGACGAAGCCATCGTAATTGCTGCTCTCAGGACATACATTCTGCGCACATTGGAGGGCCATATACACTGGCACTGCCAATCCTCCAGGATAACAGGATACCGCAAGGGGCTCACCAAGACTACCCGGTTTGCATCATCCCAAATTCTCTTAGAAAACGCGATGCGGCTCTTGCGAGCAAGATAGATAGTATTACTAACCTACTCATGGTCACAGTGATTAGGACACTTAAACTGATTGCTAGCAATGTTTGTGACAATGCTCGCCTCAGCCTAAGGGCTCTCTATTGCGCAGAGTACAGGCTCAATGCCTCCTTGATCTCACTGTAGGCAAAGAAAAGAATGAGAGAGACAGTCCTGAGGAATCCAGAGAGCCACAGTATGGACACATGGTCCACATCATACAAGTTACAACAGACTGAACTGCGCAAGTCCTGGGGGGCAAAACATGCTCTGTGGGATGTAGACTCCCCGAGTTTAATGTCAGGGATGACTCGTTTCTGCCGACTGTCGGCCCACTTCAACCAGTCGAGTTGTAGATGCGCTATTTCGAGGCTATTGGCCAACATTTGCGCGCCGTTGTCGGTCGCCTGCTGTGGCGG